CGCGAGGCCAGGAGTTCAGATCGGCTGGACACCAGCAGGGCCCCCATCTCTACAGGGTGCGTTAGCTGGGTGTGGCTGGTGCATCCTATGTAGTCCCAGCTGCTCAGGAGGCTGAGGTGGGAGGATCGCTTGAGCCCAGGAGGTCGAGAGGCTGCAGTAAGCCACGATACAGCACTATCACCAGCCTGGGCAATAGGCGAGACCCTGTCTCAGACCAAAAAAAAAAAAAAAAAAAAAAAAAAGGCTGCTACTTGGGTCTTTACAGACATCACTGTCATGACTCTCACTCCCATTAATCTTGGCGGAAAAGTGATTCCCAGGTGCTTTGCCCCACTTCCTCTATTCCAAGACCTCTACGCTTTAGGACAGCACCTGGGTTTTGGTTTCAGAATGCCCCAGTGAGGCTTCCAGGAGAAGGAGGCTGGAAGGCAGCTGAGAAAAGAAGTGGGCTTTGGGGCCAGGTGCAGTGGTTCACGCCTGCTCATCCCAGCAGCACACTTTCGGAGGCTGAGGCAGCAGATCCCCTGAGTTAGAAAGATCGAGACCATTTAGCTAACATGGTGAAATCCTCATCTCTACTAAATACAGCTAAAAACAGCTACTAGGAGGCTGAGGCAGTCACTTGAACTCGGGAGCGGAGAGTTACAGTGAGCCAAGATCAGTGCCATTTGCACTGCAGAAGTGGTGGACAATAAAGTGAAACTCTGTCTCAAAAAAACAAAGTGGATTTAGGTCTCTCAGCCTGTTCCAAGAGAGCAGGGATTAGACCAGAGATCACTGCAGATGCTAGGAGGCACATGGCATGAGTCCTATAGGACAGTGAGACAGACCCTACCTTGGCCAGCGCAGCTGCATAACCCAAGACACTATCCTGAGTTGTTTTGTTTTGAGGATGGAGACTTTGCTCTGTCACCAGGGTAGACAGTGGCTACCATCTCGGCTCTGCAACCTGCCCTCCCGGCTCAAGCGTTCTCCAAGTGCCACAGTCTCTGAGTATGGGATTACAGGTGCCCGCCACCAGCCACCCAGGTAATTTTTGTATTTTCTTTCTTTTCTTTTTTTTTTTTTTTTTTTTTGAGACGGGATCACTCTGTCATCAGGCTGGAGTGCAGTGGTGTGATCTCGGCTCACTGCAGCCTCCGCCTCCCAGGTTCATGCCTTGTTCTCCTGCCTCAGCCTCCCGAATAGCTGGGCTACAGGCGGCACCCGCCACCACGCCCGGCTAATTTTGTATTTTTAGTAGAGATGGGGTTTCACCGTGTTGACCAGGATGGTCTGATCTCGACCGCGATCCTCCTGCCTCGGCCTCCCAAAGTACTGGGATTACAGATGTGAACCACCGCGCACGGCCAATTTTTGTATTTTCAGTAGAGGCAGGGGTTTCCTCATTTTGGCCAGCTGGTCTCGAACTCCTGACCTCAAGTGATCACCCCCTCTCGGCTTCCCAAGTGCTGAGATGACAGGCGTTTGCCACTGCACACAACTCCTCCTGAGTTTTGGAATAAGGGGTTTCTGGGAGAGTAGCTCCAGAGCAGGAGGCCCAGTGCCCCTGCACAGGCGGGGCGGTCTCTGCTCTGCCTCAAGCACCACCAGCCTCTCCTGGACTCTAGGTGAGCCTCCCAGGGCTCACAGCAGACTCAGAGCCCAGGAGATCCAGCCCGTAGCCTGCCGGGGAAGGGGGTGAGCTGAAAGGACACCCCACATCCCAGAGGGTGTCCACTGTCCCAAAGGAGGTGCTGGGTGGCACTCGGCCTCCTGTTTCCTTCGTGTCCCTAGGGTATTAGGTCAGCCTCTCCCCAGGACCACCCGAAGGCAGTTTCAGGCGGGAGGTACAGGTGGCCACTGCCTGGGACCTGCAAGAGGGGGCTCGAGACCCTGATGTGGGTGGCGGTGAACCAGCTCCGAGGTTGTTCTTCGAGCTAGAGCCCATCCCATTTGTAACCAGTAGGGCTGTCCCTGCCACCCTGGACCCAAAAGTGCTTGGCCCGCTGGGGCCTGACCTCTCCTGGACTCAGGTGCCCTCCTCCTGTCTCCATCTCTTGGGTCACATGCAGGTCCCTGGGTGCTGTGCTCCCCCACTCCTTCACGCGTGGGCAGTCTCCCCATCCCTGCCCCAGCCCCCACCCTCACACCATCAGGTCCAAGCCCCTGCCACCCACACCTGTCTGTCTGAACAGGCGTGGCCTTTCCCCTCCCTGCAGTGACTTGTGGCTTCCTGGGGACAGGAGGCGCTGGGTGGAGATCTGGAGGCTGCTCCTCAAGCCCTGCCCTGATAGCTTGTGTGTCTCAGGAAGTTCCTGCCCCTCTCTGGGCAGTCTTGCCTTTTCCCGGGGGTGAAAATCTTAGACGCGTCGAGGTCTGGAGTCAGCTACCGTGCCCCAGGAGGCCCCTGCCTCTGCCAGTGGATTCACAGTCTTCCAGGGCTGCTTGAGACTCAGGGTTTGGGTGTCCTGTCATTCCCGGGGTTCCCCTGCTAGGCTCTGGAGGCCTCACTGCTGTGAGGCCAGAGGGGGCACCTGCCTTGCCCAGATCACGGGATGACAGGTGAGAGAGACAGGTGTGCACCTCCAGCCCCCTCCCATCCCAAGGCTCACGTGGACATGGAGCTGAAAGGTCAAATGTGCTTTATAATAGGTGGCTCCCAGGTCCTCTGCCTGGGCCCGGGGGAAGTGGCGCTGGCTAGGCCCTGCCGGCTTTCTTAGCCTTCCTCGGCTTTCCCTTCTTGGCGACAGGCCTTTCTCTTGCCGGGCAGACTCGAGGACTTGGGGTGTTGGCGGCAGGGCCTGGGTGGGCGCTGCTCCTCCATCGGCGCCTTGGGATGAAGTGATCGACGTTGGACGGTGTCCGGCGGATCTCAGCCACGCTGTGGTCGAAGGACGCTCTGAGGCGCATGGCGGATGTCGCCGGCTGGGTTCCCACCACTACTGTCGACGAGGCAGCCGGGGACTGCTGGGCGCCCCTCGGGCTCAGTGGCACCTGGCAGGCAGTGAAGAGCTTCATGGCGTCCTCAACAGAACCTTGTCAGGCAGTGCAAAGCTCACAGCATCTCGGGCGCGCTCGCCTGCCCCCAGCAGGGCCCCTCCCGCCAGCCTCCAGCCACCTTGAGGCTCCACAGGAGGGCCTGGTGGGTACAGGGGCACCCCAGGTCGGGCCCATGCCCTGCTAAGCTCCTTAGCGAGGAAGGCCAGGGGTTGAGGCCCAGAAGTGGCCGAGGTGGCCCTGGTGGAGGCTGGCTGTAGGTGTCAGGGGGCAGTGTGAGCTCTGCAGGCAGCGGCTGGTGGTCAGGGGGTGCTTGTTCTCTTTAGGAGGTGGAGGGTGAGTGTGGGGCGGGCCTTCCTCGAGTGGACGGTAGGGGGCATCTACATGAAGGCCCCAGGTCCACGTCCCCCACAAAGCCAGAGCCTCTGGCCCGGGGCCACTCAGGCCCAGGAAGTAGGGCAAGAGAGGAACTGGGAAGCTTGGTGATGCCGGTTGGTAATGGGGGTATGGGGCCAACCCGGGGCCTTGAGGTAGGGCTGCGGCTCCAGGAGGTAGCTGCCTGGGGCAGGGCCCCATTGGCCCCCGCTGCTGCCGCCAGCTTGTACAGAGCCAGGCTGGCCCAGGTCAGAGGTAGTCCCTCCAATCCGATAGATGCGGGGGTGGAAGAAGCACCGCGTGGGGCCATCTGAAACCTGTGGGCGGCAGGCAGGTGGCCTGAGGCAACCGCTGCCTGATGGGCCCAGCTCAAGCCTGGGAGCCTGTCTAGGGGACCACACGAGAACATGCCATTAGGGAGGCCCCTTTGAGGCGACATGGGCATATTGCTTTGGGAGCCCTGGCTAGGTGATGAATGCTGGGAGCTCGTCTTTGCAGGGCTCATCTGGAGACCTGTGACTTAGAGGCAGAGGCATGCCTTCAGGCCCCACACAAAGGTTGGGGCAGGGGCAAGATGGGCCTGCACTCAAACCCACTCCCAGCCTCATCAAGAAAGGGGTTCCAGGGAGGCCGGTGGGCCTGCTGGAGGGGCGGAAGCTTCTCTTTCTCTGGGTCTGGGGATGGTAGAGGTTCAAGGAGCCACTGTGGACAAGGTGCCAATTGGAGTGGGGCCCTTAGGCGGGTGGGCCCCTGAGCCCTCCTAACAGGTGCCCCTGCCCACCCGATGGGTACTACGGGAGGCGCTGGTGCAGGTGGGGTGGGCTGGCTGCCAGTGCCTCGGCCCTCCCCGAGCTCTAGAGGCTGAAACCTTCCTACAGGGAGCTGCAGGCATAGAAGGGTTGGGGTGCTGCATGGGGCAATGGGGGGCCCAGCCCAGACACAGGCAGGCAGGAGGTGGCAGTAAGGAGCACAGGTGGCCCAACTTGAAGGGCTGAGAACCCGGCGGGGTTCTGTTGTTGCCTAGTTGCACTGAGACGCGGGTTTCCAGCCTGCAGCCACGCCCACTGGTTGGCGAGGTTCTGGGTGTGTCAGGGCCGGGCAGGGGCAGACGGCAGCAGAGGCAGTGTCACCAGGGGGGGGACTCTGGGCCAGGCCTTTCTTCCTTGCCCCTAACACAGCTTCAAGGCTCTCCTCAGACAGGCTGCCTGATCTCCACAGGCACAGGCTGAGGCTCCCGGGTCCTGCCAACTACCTTCTTGGGAGTCAGAAGCCTTTCTCTCTGGGCACAAGCAGCACCCAGCTTGGAGGCCAGGCCCGTCAGTACAAGAGGGTTTAAGATGGGGGCCAGGAGGGGCTGCTTCAGGGTCACAGAAGACTGGACACTTTAAAGATAAAATTTGCCGCCTCTCCTCGCCACGGTGCCCTGAGGAAGCTGCGTACTTGCCACCGCGTTGGCCTTGTGCTTCGGCAAGAGAAAGCAAGTTCAGAGCCACTGAGGTCAGGGCATCTCACTCTGTGGAGGCAGGCGGAAAGCAAGGGTGGGCCCAGAACACTGCAAGCACCCTCCGCGGCCCAGGGCCCGACTCCAGCCCTGTCCAGCCACGGCACCTGATCAGGATCAGTGATCGCAGCCTTCTGGCTGCGTATCAAAATCTCAGGTAGTCACAGCCCAGGTAGTAGGCGGCGCTCGTTGATCTCTGTGGGCCGTTCCAGCGTGGCCGGGCGGCGTGCCTCTGAGCGTGGGCAGGCAGCAGAACAGGCTTTGATCAGCTAGCTAGCCGCGTGCATCCAGCGCCCACACAGCCAGCCCCAGGTGATTTCCCAGCTGGAAGGAACTTCATGCCGAGGCAGGCGTTGAGTTCTCCACCTCGTGTCAGGCCCCAGTGTCTCCAGGCCACACCGTAGTTGGTAAAGTCCATGGAGATGTCAGCCTCGGGCAGCCAGAGATGTCCCAGTGCAACTGCTCCATGCCAGTCTCGTGAACAGCCCGGCGACAGAGGCATCACTGTAGGACAGGCGGCAATCAGGTGAGCTGGCCTGTGCCAGGATCGTGGCCCCTGCCATAAGCCACCAGCCAGGCAGACCTGACCACGAGAGCCTACAAGCCCTGTTAAGCCTCCCGGCTTATGTGCACTGTAACCTTAAAACCCAGGACTTTCTTTTTTTAACTCTTTTTTTGAATGGAGTCTGGCTCTGGCTGCTTTCTGAGCTGTTTTAGTGATAAGATGTGGCTCTCCATTCCCCACCTTCCATCTCCCAGATTTACAACAATAATTCACCACCTCTAGTCTCCTAGTAGGTTGGATTACAGGCGTGCACTGCACCTGGCTAATTTTCTTATTTTTAAGTAGAGATGGGTTTGCACCATGCTGGCCAGGGGCGGTGCCCAGACACGGCCTCGTAGTGGCCTGCCTCGGCCTCCCAAAGTGCTTGGGATTACAGGGTGTGAGCTAAGCCACACTGGCCCAAAGCCCCAGGACTTTCAACCTTTATAATCTGAATCCATGGCAGCAGCCATTTCAGTCCTCTCTCTGTAGCAACACAGCTGCTGGCTCTAACATCCTCTGCCCCTCCAACTTGGGATAGCTGGCCCGCCACAGGCCAGAAGCGGTGCAGAGGGGCAATGTCAGGTTAAGGCACTGCTGCCTGAAACATGAAGATGGAGCTGCATCTCTGTATCCTGAGCTCACGGGCAATCATGAGATCCCCGTGGCGGCCAAGTCTGCATGGCCAGTTGGCATCCTCAAATAACAAGATGTCCCCAGCCTAGAAGACAGAGGCCGAGGTCTCAAGGAGGCCTCAAGCAGTGGGACACAGGTCTCCACAGCCCTTCAGTTCAGCTGACCCAGTGGCCCCATTAGGGTGGCGGAGGTCCCAGGTGGGGCAAACGGCCAGGTGAGCCGGGGTGGTGAGAGGAGGTGGCTTCGGGCACCCACCGAACAGGCATGTGGGTGGGCTGGCGGCCTTCACGCACTCCTCGATGTACTGGTGGCTGACTTGGGTGTAGCGCTGCTCCGAGAAGCGGCCTGGAGCACAGAGGAGAAGCACGCCACGCAGGGTGGGAGGCAGAGAGAGTGAGGCGCAGAGAAAGAGACCCGAGAGAGAGCCAGGCTGAGAGGACAGAGACAGAGGCGGAGACAGAGGAGGTGCGGAGGTGAACAGGGAGGGATGGGAGGAGTGGTGGAGCCCAGGAGGGGCTGGTCGACCCAGACCTGATGCTAGAAGCATCCCATGACCACCGTGGCCAGTGCCACACCCCCACAGTCCGGCTCCAGCGGTAACAGAAGCGATGCCAGAGTTCTGCAACTCCTGGGCGCTGGATCTTTACACGGTCAGTCACGTCCAGCACACAGGATGGTGGGGAGGTGGTGGGAGGCGGTGGGATGCCGGTGAAGAGAGTTTGTGGGAGACACTGGGAGGTGGTGTGGGAGGTGGTGGGAGGCAGTGGGAGGAGGAGTGGTGGGGAGGCCAGGTGGAGATGGTGGGAGGTGGTGGGAGGCGTTGGAGGTGGAGGTGGTGGGGAGACAGAGTGGGAGGTGGTGGGGAGGTGGTGGAAGCGGTGGGAGGTGGAGTGATTGAGGTGGTGGGAGTGGTGAGGAGGTGAGTGGGAGGTGGTGGGGGACAGTGGAGTGGTGGGAAGTGTGGTGAAGGAGACAGTGGAGGAAATTGAGGAGGGTGTGGTATGAGCAGGTGATTAAGGTGAGGTGGGGAGACAGTGAGGTGGTGGGAGGCGGTGGGAGGTGGTGGGAGGTGGTGGGGAGACAGTGGGAGAGGTGGTGGGAGGTGATGGGAGACACGTGCAGACGGTGGGATATGGCGTGGAGGTGGCCAGGATATGGGTAGGAAGTGATGTGATGGGCGGGAGGCAGTGGAGTGGTGGAGATATTGGGAGATGGTGGAATGTGGTGGGAGGTAAGTGGGAGATGAGTGGGGGTCAGGTGGGAGTGAGTGGGGAGATGGTGGAGGTTGTGAGAACACTGGGGGGTGGTGGGAGGTGATAGGAGATGGTACGGAGACAGTGGGGGTGGTGAGTGGTGGGAGATGTTGGAAATGAGTAGAAGTCATGGTAGGAGGTGGTAGGAGAGATGAAGTGCAGGGAGATGGTGGGGAGGCAGGCTGGAGGTGGTGAGAGATGGTAGGAAGTGATGGGAGCCTTACTGGAGACCAGTGGTGGAACAGGTGAGAGATGGGAAGCAGATGAAGGAAATTGGGTGAGGAGATGGTGGGAAGGCTGGTGGGAGGTGATGTGGAGACATTGGCAGGCAGGTGGGAATGGTAGGAGGTGTTGTTCTGGAAGATATAGTGAGGAGATGGTATTGAGAGATGGTGGTGGGAGATGGTGGGTGGTGGGGAGGTGGTGGGAGATGATGTGTGGATGGTGAGGTGGTGGGAGGTGATGGGAACACACTTGGAAATGGAGGTGGAATCTTAGTAGAGTGGTGGAGATGGTGCAGGAGATGGGTAGGAGGTGGTGGAGATGGTGGAGGTGGTGGGAGGTGATGGGAGGCATTGGCAGACAGTGGAGATGTGACACAGGAGGTGGTAGGAGGTGGTGGTGTGGAGGTGGTAGGAAGTGGTGCAGGAGGTGGTGGAGGCAGGGCTGGGGAGTTGTTGAGGCCAATGCCGGGGATGCTGGCTGTGCCATGCTTTGATTCATGCCACGAGCGATCTGGAACAGGTGAGCGATTCGCAGGGCAGCCCCGCCCTGGAAGGCCAGGCAGGTGGAGGAGGCCTGGGACCGGGCCACCCAGACCTCACCCCTGCTGCCAGGCCTTGGGAAATGTAACCACTGAGGCAGGCTCAGGCCAGCACGGGCCCAAACCTGACCCTCCACCGCTGACATATGGCTGGCCCAGTGCCTCTACCGCCAGATGAAGCCAAGGCTGCGTCTGAGGGCCCTTCCTTGCACGAGGTGAGTGGGGGCGGCTGTGGCGTTATTGCCACAAAAGTCCACCTCGGTGTGCGGCTCCAGCAGCTGCAGCACTTGGTCATGTGGTGTCAGGAAGCGCCCTCAACTGGAGAAGTGTGACGTCCCAGCAGAGCGGGGGTGAGGCAGAGTCTCACGCGATTACCGCTTGGCGTTCCCTCTCTCCCCGCTGGGGGCCTGAGCCGCCCCGGCCTCTTCTCAGACCTCCTGAGAGAGCCAAAGAGTCTGTCTTTAAGGCACTGGAGTCCCAGCGCGCCGCCCTTGGTCCCCAGAGAGTGAGGCACCTGCATTCCACATTCCCAGCTGAGGCCACAGGGTGCAGGAGAGCCTTGGGAGCGGGCTGGGCAAGCTCCCAAGATAAAAGCATTGGGAGCCACCCTAAAAGCTCCCTCCCTCCCTAAGGCAGGCACAGCCTGGTGGGCGCCAAAGATGTCACTGCACTGGTGGCGTTTGAGCAGGCCATGGACATCTGGCCTGCAGCAGGTTGGTGCAGAGCGGCCATCTCTCACCGCATGTCTGCATCCGCCCAAAGCCTTGCAGATCCATCGGGCAGGAGTTCCCACTGAGGAGCAGAAGACATAACTTAATGCTTGCTTTTTGCAAACACCAACACACAAACACACACACAGGCACCACACGCACACAGACACACACACACCACTTTTACAGACACCACACCACACAACCCCACACAGGCCTTCCACACAACTTACACACAAACTTCACACACACACACACACAGCTGATCTGAATGTCACTTTAGCCCCAATCAGCAGGTGGGAGGTGGTGGGAGACACTGGGAGGTGGTGGGAGGTGATGGGAGATGGTGGGAGACAGTGGGAGGTGGTGGGAGGTGGTGGGAGATGGTGGGAGGTGGTGGGAGGTGGTGGGAGGTGGTGGGAGATGGTGGGAGGCGGTGGGAGGTGGTGGGAGATGGTGGGAGGTGATGGGAGACACTGGGAGACGGTGGAATGTGGTGGGAGATGGGAGACGGTGGGAGGTGGTGGGAGATATTGGGAGATGGTGGAATGTGGTAGGAGGTGGTGGGAGATGGTAGGAGATGGTGGGAGGTGGTGGGAGATGGTGGGAGATGGTGGGAGGTGGTGGGAGGTGGTGGGAGGTGGTGGGAGGTGGTGGGAGGCAGGGCCTGGGGGAGTTGTTTGGGAGCCAATGTGGGGATGTGGCTGGCCATACTTGATTCATGCCACGAACGATCTGCTGGAACTTGGTCGAGCGATTCATGAGGGCACAGCCCCCGCCCTGGAAGAGACAGGCAGGTGGAGGGAGGGCAGGACCCGGGCCACCCCAAGACCACTCACCCCTGCTGCCCGGAGGCCCCCGCCAGGAGATGTCAACCCGCAGGAAAGGCAGGGGCTCCAGGCCCACACTTGGGCCCAAACCCCTGACCCTCCACCCATGACATCGCCGGCTGGCCCAGTGCCTCCCTGCCCAGATGGGGAAACCAAGGCACACGTCCGGGGCCACTACCTTCTTGTACACGAGGTCGATGGGGCAGCCGACGTTGATGTCCACAAAGTCCACCTCCACGGTGCGGCTCAGCAGCTCGGCGCACTTGGTCATGGTGTCAGGGAAGGCGCCCTCCAACTGCAGGTAGGCAGTGGCAGAACGGGGGGTGAGGGCAGAGTCTCAACGGTCCCCACTTGGCCGTTCCCTCCCCACTGGGGGGCCCTGAGCCAGCAGCCTCTTCTCTCGGGCCCTCCCTGGAAGGAGCCAAGGTCTGTCTGTAAGGCACTGGTCCCCGGCCATGGCCATCGGTCCCCAGAGGTGGATCAGGGCACCACCCCCATTCCCCCATTCCACAGCTGAGGCCACAGGGTCGAGGAGGCAACCAGGGCAGACCTGGAACCTGGCTCTGAGATAGCGCAGTCGAGGGCCCCTCCGCTCTCCCTCCCTCGGGGCGGGCACTGACCTGGACGCCAAAGATGTCCTCGCACTGGTGGCGTTTGAGCAGGGCCCACTCGGACATCTGGCCCTGCAGCAGGTTGGTGCAGACGGCCATCTCTCCGCATGTCACGTCCGCCCCGAAGCGCTTGCAGATCCGTCGGAAGGGCAGGTTCCCACACTGAGGGGGGAGCAGAAGACACATATGCTCATGTACACACGCGCACACACAAACACCCAACACACAAACACACACCACACACAGACACACACACACACCACGCACACAGACACACACACACACCACGCACACAGACATACACACACACACACAACCCACACACACAGACATACATACACAAACACACACACAAACACACACACACACACACACACACAGCCGAATCCTGAATATGCGCCCCAGCCCCACAATCCAGCAGGTGGGGAGACACTCAGCCCTGCTGGAATGACCACACTGCCACCCTGCCACCCCAGCAGCCACCTGACCCAGGTCCTACCGTGGTGAGGGGGGCCAGGTAAAGTTTGCCACCGATGTCCAGCTGGAGGAAAAAATAATACAAGTGAAGCTTGGGCCTCCACCCCAGCTGCTGAGGCCCTGGACCTCCCTTCTTCCCACAGTCTAGGACACACTTGGCCCTGGCCCCAATGGCCTGGCTCCTTTTCTGGGCCTCTGCAAGTGCCAATCAACCCTTCATCAGGAATGTTCTTTTCCTCACCGTCTCCTCCACTGGAAAGCTTCTACTGAACCATCCAAACCCAGCTGCAATGCCCCCTCTTCCAGGAAGCCTTCCATATTGTCCCCTGCTGCCCAACCGTGACCCTGTGGGACTGAGAGTGTGCCCAGCTTTTTTTTTTCCCCCCCCAGATGCAGTCTTGCTCTGTCACCCAGGCTGGAGTGCAGTGGCACAATCTTGGCTCGATGCAACATCCGCCTCCTGGGTTCAAGCGATTCTCCTGCTTCAGCCTCCTGAGTAGCTTGAATTACAGGCGCCCGCCACTATGCCCGGCTAATTTTTGTATTTCTAGTAGAGACGCGGTTTCACCATGATGGCTAGGCTGGTCTCGAACTCCCGATCTCAAATAATCTGCCTGCCTCAGCCTCCCAAAGTGTTGGGATTACAAGTGTGAGCCACCGCGCCCGGCCCTGTCCAGCTCTTTCTGTCACCACCAGAGTGGGACCTCCTGAAGGCTGGGCCCAGGACAGAGCACAGAGAGGGAGACTCAGCTGGGAGCTCCTTCAAGGCACAGCCTCTGACTCCCAGGGAGCTAGAACAGGAACGTGGACACAGCTGGTGCCTAATAGATGCACACCAGATGGCCAGGTCTGCTACTGACATTGTCCACAATACGTACCCGCTTCTTCTCACAGGGCCGCAGCCTGACCACGTCTTCATCCGTCAGGGGCCCGCAGGTCCGCACGGGGCTGCTAGGAGGGGTGCTAGTGCCCAGCCCTGTGGGGACCTGCTGAGCGCCACAGTTGTCCTGCCTGGGAGCACCCTCGGCTGCCGTGCCCTCGGGTACAGCAGCAGCAGGTGTGGGGCCCGGCGGCTGGCCCTGGCTGAACCGGCGCAGGGCCTGCTCAGCTCGCTCGAAGCGGACCTCGCGCTTCCGCAGCTGCTGCTGCAGGCCTTTGTCCAGGCCGTTGCGGACGGGCGGGGGCTGGGCCCCGCGGGCCGCCAACTCCTCCCGCACCAGGTTCTGTCCCTCGGGCCCCAGATGGGCCCCTGCGAAGCGGCAGGTCACGCCGTAGGGGCACCGGCCGAAGGTCTGGAAGAGCACACAGTGGGGGCCCAGGTCTGCCGGCTTGGTCTCCAGGTAGCGCCGCACGTCGTGCAGGAAGCGGCAGCGATCTCCGAAGAAACACTTAGCAGCCGACTCCTGCGGGGAAACAGGGAAGGAGTGAGGGAGGACAGGGAGACCCCGGGGCAGCCCAGCAGTCAGGGGTTCAAACTCTAGGTCACCCCTCCTGGCTCTGGGTCCCTGAGCAAGTCAGGCACCTCACTGTGCCTCTGCCTCTCCATTGGTACAATAAGAACAATGACAAACCCCACAATATATCCCGAGGAGGATGAAGACGGAATGGCATCAGAGCAAGCTCACTGCTCACTGCTGAAGGCCCAGGAGCTTTCTAACAATTCCCCACCGCCAGGAAACACCCGGCAGGAATGCTCACGTGGCCGCACTCGCCTGGATCAGGGAGGGGCACAGCCTGTTCTTGTCGTAGTGTGTGGGCTTCACATGAGGCCGGCCCTTGTTTTGTCCCCGGGCCCTCTTCTGAGTCTGCGGCTGCTCCCTGGGCTCTGCTGCCTCCTCCGTCTGCCCGTCCTCCGTCTGTCCATCCTCCAGTCGGATCCGCTTAGCCTCAGGCTCAGCCAGGTCATTGCCAGCTGAGTCTCCTACCTCCGTTTCCCGGCAAGGCTTCTCCTGCCCTTTGGCTTCCAGGAATTGGTGAAACTGCTCCTTGGTGGTGAGGTATCTGCCGACAGACAGGGAAAGGAAAACTCTCTAAACGTAGAGTCAATAAACACTAGGGAAAGGAGGCTAGAACCACTTGCCCGTGCTTAAATCCTTCTGCTGATGGGGAGCTCACTACTTAAGAACCAGCCAGATTCCAGCCTGGGAGCCCCTCAGGGCCTCAAAAAAGATCTATTTCATCTCTGGGTCCTCACTGTCCAAAGTGTTGCGCGAAACTATTTTTTTTTTTTTTTTTGAGACGGAGTCTCGCTCTGTCGCCCAGGCTGGAGTGCAGTGGCCGGATCTCAGCTCACTGCAAGCTCCGCCTCCCGGGTTTACGCCATTCTCCTGCCTCAGCCTCCCGAGTAGCTGGGATTACAGGCGCCCGCCAACTCACCCGGCTAGTTTTTTGTATTTTTAGTAGAGACGGGGTTTCGCCATATTAGCCAGGATGGTCTCGATCTCCTGACCTCGTGATCCACCCGTCTCGGCCTCCCAAAGTGCTGGGATTACAGGCTTGAGCCACCGCGCCCGGCCAAAATATGGAACGCTTCACGAATTTGCGTGTCATCCTTGCGCAGGGGCCATGCTAATCTTCTCTGTATCGTTCCAATTTTAGTCTATGTGCTGCCCAAGCGAGCACTGCGCGAAACTATTATCAGGTTCAGTCAAGAACGTCCCTGCGGAAGCTAGGCTAAGAAAAACTACAATTCCCAGCATGCCTTGAAGCGGAGTCTAAGCCGCCACATTTCCCTGCACGCCTTTCGGCCCTTCAAACACCGCAAGCCCCAGCACGCCCCACGGCACTCACTCCAAACCCAGGACCCGCCATTAACCGCCGCTGGAGGAGCACATGCGCCGTATGTCCATATGCAGGGACTACAATCCCCAGTATGCACCGCGGGCCTGGCCTCAAATCCCACCTGCCCTAGCATGCACGTGGTGTCCTTCGCGCAAGTGACGGTCCCCAACGTGCACGATCTCGGATGCCTCCGCTGACCACGCTGCAGGCGGAAGAACGGTCCAGAATGAAGAACCGATGGCTTCTCGCCCTTAGCCGCTGCCTAATTTCCCGGCATGCACAGCTTGGGCCACGCTATGGGTGCCGGAAAGGGCCCTTGAACTTCCCTCCTGCCCCGGCGACTCACTGAGGCTTAATGGGCGCCACTCCCCGTTCCAACGCTCCGGCTCCTGAGTCGCCGCCACCACCGTTCTCTAGAGGGGCCTCCGCCGTTCCCTCCGCCATCGGCGCCCCTCACGCCCGTTCTGGAGTGTGGCGGGAAGGCCTTCCGGGTCACGCGTGTCTTCCCTGCTTTGCTGGGGAAGTGCGCATGCTCGTGTCGTTCCAATGACGCCATTGCGCGCCCGTGACGCAACGCGGGGGCGGGGTGCCTGTACATGGGTGGAGCCTCAGATCCTATATAAACTAGAGCCTGGCCGCTTGCAAATTGAACTGCAATCAGCTTCTGGACTCATGAAGCCTACTTGTTAGGGTGTTTTGGGGGGGGGGTTTTGTCTTTATTCTGTTTGAAACGGTCTTGTTCTATCGCCCAGGCTGGAGTGCAGTGGTACGATCACGACTCACTGCAGCCTCTTCCTGGGCTCAAGCGATCCTCCCACTTCAGCCTCCCGAGTAGCTGCGTCTACAGATATGCACCAATAGGCCTGGCTAATTTTTAAATTTTCTGTAGAGACGAGGTTTCGCCAGGTTGCCCAGGCTGATCTCGAACTCTTGGGCTCAAGCGATTCTCCCACTTTGGCCTCCCAAGCATTGGGATTACAGGCGTGAGCCATGGTTCCCAGCCCCTACTAGGGTTTTTAAAAATGTAAATTAGGGGTCGGGCGCGGTGGCTCACACCTGTAATCCCAGCACTTTGGGAGGCCGAGGCGGGCGAATCACCTGAGGTCAGGAGTTTGAGACCAACCTAGACAGCGTCAGCGAAACCCCATCTCACTAAAAATATAAAAAATTGGCTGGGCGTCAGTAACACATGTCTCTCATCCCAGCTACTTAGGAGGCTTGAGGCAGGAAAAATCGCTTGAACCGAAGAGAGGTGGAGGTTGCAGTGAGCTGAGATCACACCATTGCACTCCAGCTTGAGTGACAGAGCGAGACTGCTTCCAAATAAATAAATAAATAAGGCCGGATGCGGTGGCTCACGCCTGTAATCCCAGCAATTTGGGAGGCGGAGGCAGGCAGGCCTGAGGTCAGGAGTTCGGGACCAGCCTGGACAACATGGCAAAACCCATCTCTACTAAAAATACAAAAATTAGCCAGGCGTGGTAGTGTGCGCCTGTAATCCCAGCTACTCAGGAGGCTGAGGCAGGAGAATTGCTTGAACCCGGGGGAGGAGGTTACATTAAGCCAGATGGGGACAGCACTTCACTCCAGCCTGGCGACAAGCAAGACTCCATCTCAAAAAAAAAAAAAAAAAAAAAAATGAAATTACACTACTTTTTATGTAGGGCATTAGTTTCAACAACTAATTAGTTGAGCGAATCTGTGCCAGATGCTGTAGTAGATGCTGAAGTGTGGTAGTAAACAAAGCGGAGAAATCATTGCTTTTAAGAGCTCACTTGGAGTCGGAAACACAGACAAAAACATAATACTCCTCGGAATTTGAAGTTGGTTCCAAGACCGCTCATACCAAAATCGCGTATGCTCAAGTTCACAGTCGCCCAGGAATCCTGTATAGGAAAATCAACCCTTCGTATCCATGGGTTTCCTTCGCCTCCGCATTTGGTAAGGTTAAAGAACCCGCGGTACGGATGGCCAACATGTATTTTATTTTTTAAAGATTATTTATGGCCGGCGCGGTGGCTCAAGCCTGTAATCCCAGCACTTTGGGAGGCCGAGGCAGGCGGATCACGAGGTCAGGAGATCGAGACCATCCTGGCTGACACGGTGAAACCCCGTCTCTACTAAAAAATACAAAAAACTAGCCGGGCGAGGTGGCCGGCGCCTGTAGTCCCAGCTACTCGGGAGGCTGAGGCAGGAGAATGGCGTGAACCCGGGAGGCAGAGCTTGCAGTGAGCTGAGATCTGGCCACTGCATCCAGCCTGGAGCACAGAGCAAGACTCCGTCTCAAAAAAAAAAAAAGACTACTTATAAGTGGTTGGATGCAGTTCAAACCCGGAGTTCGAGAGTCAACTGTACATAAGTAAATTAACATAGAAGAGGAGAGTAGCTAATAAAGCAGTAAGGTGGATTTGGAATTCTGCCCTTGGCTGTTAGGTTTTTGAGGCGCGGTCTCCGTCTGTCGCCCAGGCTGGAGTGCAGTGGCGCAATCTCGGCTCACTGCAAGCTCGCTGCTCCTGGGTGCACGCCATTCTGCCTCAGCCTCCCAAGTAGGTGGGACTGCAGGCTGCCGCCACCCGCGCCCGGCTAATTTGTATTTTTTTAGTAGAGCGGGGTTTCACCAAAATATTGCCTCCAGGATGTTCTTGGCTCCTGACCTCAAATGATCCGCTTTCACCTACCGGCTTCTCCCAAAGTACTGGATGAGCATGAAGCTCCATTGCCCGGCCTTTCTTTTTCTTTTTTTTTTTGGTAGAGTCTCAGCTCTGTCGCCCAGGCTGGGATGCAGTAAGCCCAATCTCGCTGTTTTACAACCTCCACCTTTCAGTTCAAGGGATTCTCCTACCCTCAACCTCTCCCAAGTAGAGTGGGGATGCAGACTACCACTACCTGTGCCTGGCTAAGTTTTTGTATTTTTAGTACAGATGGGGTTTCATCATGTTGAGCAGGCTGGTCTTCGCTCCTGGCCTCAGAGTGGCAGCGCCTGCCTTGGCCTCCCAAAATGCAGGATTACAGGCGTGAGTCACTCTGCCCAGCTAAATTTTAATTGTTTTTGAGAGACAGAGTTTATTTATTTAAATTTATTTATTTACTTATTTAAAAAATAGATTTATTTATGTTTTGAGGCAGAATCTTGCTCTGTTGCCCAGGCTGGAGTACACTGGTGCAATTATAGGTCACTGCTGCGGTTGCAGTTGTAAATAGGCTGGCCAGGGAAGGCTTCCTGGGGAAGGTCATGTTTGAGAGTATTTGGAAGGCTGCGGGGAGAGAGTTGTAGGGATATCAGAGAGAAAGTGTCCCAGGTGGAGGGAACAGCCAGTGCAAAGGCCCTGAGGCAGGAGGAAAAGTCCTGGCATGTTGGAGGAACATTGAGGAGGCCCATGTGGTTGGAGCAGACAGTCCAAGGAGAGAAAAGGAAGCCAGGAAGGGAGGTGAAAAGATGAGGTTTGGGACTCAGTGGCTTGAGAAGGACAGGCTTTCATCATATGTAGAGTGAAATGAGAGTCACAGGCTGTGCGCCAAGGAAAGCTGGACCTACTCAGCATTTGTCAAGTCCCCACAAGCCCTGTTGTACCCCTAAAGCTCCCTATTCCTGGAGAAGGTTTGGTGTGCACAGGCAATTCAGGGCTCTGGACTCAACCAGGATTTGAATCCTGCCCTCTACTTACCAGCTGAACCAATGGGCATCTCATTTAGCCTTTCTCACACCCCAGTCACCTCATCAATAAAATGGGGCAGATAAAACTATCTCCCTTAGGCAGGCGCGGTGGCTCACGCCTGTAATCCCAGCACTTTGGGAGGCTGAGGCGGGCGGATCACGAGGGTCAAGAGATCAAGACCATCCTGGCCAATATGGTGAAACCCCGTCTCTACTAAAAATACAAAAATTAGCCAGGCTTGGTGGCACACGCCTGTAATCCCAGCTACTTGCGAGGCTGAGACGGAGAAATCACTTGAACACGGGAGGTGGAACTTGCAGTGAGCCAAGATCGTGCGACTACACTCCAGCCTGGTGACACAGAGAGACTCTGTCTCAAAAAAAAAAAAAAAAGGAAACTGAGGCCCAAGAGGAAGAGGGGATTTGCCGAGGAGCCACAACTGGCAGACATGCTTTTTCTAAGACCTGGGAGAAAGTGGAGGGAGGCAGGCATTTAGTCTTCCCATCTCTGGCCTCGGCTGCCCTCTGTGTGAGACAATCTGGGAACAAAACGGTGGAACCTGGGAATCTAAAACTGGAAAGGCCGGAGCACCTTGGCTTAATGCTGTAATCCTAGCCCTCTGGAGACAGGATGATCGCTTGAGAGGCCAGGCGTTCCCGGACCAGCAGCCTTAGCCACTTAGAGAGGAGACCTCTTCTCTGGAAAAAAATTGAAAAACTAGCTGGGCATCGTGGCATGCATCTGTGGATCCATCTACTCGGGAGGCTGAGGCAGGAGGATTGCTTGAGACTGGGAGGTCGATGCTGCAGTGAGCTATAGTCGTGCCACTGCACTCCAGCCTGGTCAACAGAGTGAGACCCCATCTCTAAAAATAAATAAATGGCTAGGTGCAGTGGCTCATGTAGTCCCAGTACTTTGGGAAACCGAGGCGGTTGAGTCATTTGAGGCCAGAAGTTCAAGACCAGTCTGGGCAACATGTTGAAACCCTGTCTCACTAAACTACACAAAAGGTGGCCGGGTATGGTGGCGGGTGCCTGTCCCAGAATGCTGAGTGGCTAGAGGCATGAGAATCACTTGAACCCCAGAGGCGGAGGTTGCAGTAAGCTGAGATCGTGCCACTGCACTCCAGCTTGGACAACAAAGTGAGATCCTGTCTCAAATAAAAAAATAAAAAATATTATATATATATATATATAAATAAAGTAAAATAAATCATTGAAAACCAGAAGAAACCAAAGTAGTCAGGTGAGACTTTTTTTTTTTAGATTGATCACTCTTGTCGCCCAGGCGCTGGAGTGCAATGGCACAATCTCAACTCACTGCAACCTTTGCCTCCTGGGTTCAAGCCATTCTCCAGCCTCAGTCTCCAGTAGCTAAGGATTACAGGCACCCACCACCACGCCCAACTAAGATTTTTGTATTTTTAGTAGAGACAGAGGTTTCACTATGTTGGCCAGGCTGGTCTCGAACTCCTGACCTCAGGCGATCCGCCTGCCTTGACCTCCCAAAGTGCTGGGATTACAGGTGTGAATCACCGCACCTGGCTGGGGTGAGACTTCTTGTCCATCTGGGCTTGTCCACCTCCAGGGATGGAGTACTCCTCCCTCAGAGTGCCCATCCATTCCCCTCTGAGGTTCTCCACTTTTTCTTTCTCATCATGTCACCACTACCCCAGACAGCTTTGAAGAGACAATTGTCAGATGGCGAAACAGAGCCACAAAAGCAACCTGGAATGTGGCCTCCTCTCTCTGAGCCTCAGCCTTGAAGAAAGATCTCCCAGGGCTGCTCTGGCTCTCTGCCCTGTAATAACTCCACCTCCTCAGTGTAAGGCAATCCCAGAGAGCTTCCCCGCGGGACATTGGGATTGGTAGTTTGGTGTGATGTGTGTGGATAAAGGAATAGCATCAACTGTTTACTATTAGTATGGTAATTTGTTATTATTATTATATTGTTATTACTGTTTACTATTATGTATTATCATTTATTATTATTATTATATTGTTATTATTATTTTTGAGACAGAATCTCACTCTGTCACC